AAAATTAAAAATGGAGAAGATGGAAACAAAAAGAAAATAAGAATATAGTAAAAAGAAAAGAAATATATAAAACAGTGACTTCTTTCATCACAACAAGTATAAATAATTTTAGTACCGTAACTTACCACTTTGTCTTAAATTACAATATATGACCTCTTCTTCTTTTGCTTCATCTTTTATTTATAAATAAAACCTAAAAAACCTTATCACTCAGCAACAGTCCATTAAGAGTTACCAGAGATAACAATTTTAATTTTTTAACACTTTCCCAGTTGATTTCATTTTGTAAGGGAATTGGTATGTTTGTGGTGGGTCTGCTGGAGAAAGAAGGAATGATACGAGGAAGGGGAAGCAGAAAACAAATACCATTTTGTTGTTTGGTATGGGCACATAAGGAATTAATTTGGATAGGATACAAATTATTGCAATGTTGGCAGCAGAGGCAGGTTTAATATTTATTTGAGTCCCTTTCTCTCGGGCCCTAGTTCCTTGTGGCTCCTTTCTTATCTACTTAGTTCTATGTGATCCATGTCCTTGAACTTGTTCATTGTTTCTTTATTATGTTTTCATGACTTACTGACTTAAGTTGTATTTTCATTGTACATTAATTCATATGATACGAAGATTTCATTTTTTCCTCATAGGTGTCATAAAATACTATTTCACAGAATTGCTTGTTCAGCCGTCTGAAGACAGCTTTTACATAATACCAAGGTAGTATCATGCATTTCTATATTAACTTGGCATGGCTTGTCAAATATTGTATGTAAAGCAACTTTTTGATAGGCATGTCTTTGGGGAAATTAATTTAAAACCCTGTATTAAGTAATGATAATTGTGTAATCATTAAATATGTTTTTCCCGCTCTCTTTTTCTTTGAGGTGTGTAAGTAGGGTGTGATGTTAGGGGTATAAACATTGAAATCAAAGATCTTGGAGATTGTTAGATGATTCTATATCAATTTCTTAGATTTCAAATGGCCAATTTTAAAGGCACAATCTCTCTTCTGGATTACAGAGTTGTCCAAAAGTATAAGTATACCTCACTTAAACCCAATAATGGCTTTTAACTTGTAAGAGATACTAATAATTATGCCATGCCACTTTCATTTATTTTATTCTTTATAGGAATACGCTATGTCATATATCAAGCGCATACATTCCTGCTTTGTGGAATAAAAAAATAGTGGATGCCATTTATTTGTGTCAACTTGTTTCATGGCAAATTGGGATTCTTTGGGGAAAAAGTAAAGGGTGCCAATACTTTTGGCCACATCTGTAGCTTCAAAAAACTGAATCTTGTCCTTTTGTTCAAGAGGTAAACAGAAAAGATTGGATCTTGTTCTTTGCTTGCTTTTCCCATAGCAATCTTTTTAGATGGCAGGCACCATGGTGTGATTCTGCACAACATTGTAAGTTACCCCTCCCCCCCAATAAATAAATGAACTTGGAACATTACTTTAAAATAAAGCAATAATAAAGCACCCAGATCTTATGAGATTTCATATGAGAACATAGAAATTTTGCACCGTTTAACATTCTGATAAAATTTTGGCAATTAAAAAAAATACTTTTGTGTAACTTTAAAAAGAGTGGAAGGGCCTTTTAGCCTTGTTTTATAGCTTTGGAGATATGGTGCTCCATTGCTCATTCTTCTTCCCAAACAAGGATTGGACAAATTTGGTAGCTGATAACAAATTAAGTAGAGGAATGTTCACTCTTGCGAAGCCAAATCCACTCTTTTATTAAAACCAGAAGTAGGTTTTATTCTTCTGGACCGTCCACCCAGATTTTTATACTGGTTTTTCTATCCTTGAAACTGTTCTTAATATCTTGACAATGCCCTTGTAAAATCATTGTTTCTAGTATGCTTACAACAGAATTAATAAGTCCCCAACCCAAATCATTCACTGGCTGCTGTAGCAAGGGTTAGGGTTAATCAGTGGCACATTATGCAAACCTAATGTTGCTTTAATTAATTTCTGCCATGAATCATATAATTGCCAATTAAAAGCTGGTATCTAGCCATCACTTTCTAGCCTATGCAGCTTTCGGATTCATTAAAGTTTCTTGCCTTTTTAATTGTAGGGTGACATTTAACTAAAGCACATCACTCTGAAGGGAAAAAATCACAGAATGTAGTCTGTTTAACATACGGTTTATACCTGCACCACACTGGACATCAAAAATGTAGTGATAAAGAATAAGTGTATACTAATAAGCATAAAAGTAAAAAGCTGAGGTTCGATCTTATCTTATTCTACTGCACCAAAGAAAGTCGGAAGTCAACGCTTTTTCTTTCTTTCCCCCCCTCTTTTCTAGACTTTTTTCTTCCCTTTTCCCTCCTCCATTTTTCCTATTATTTTCTTTTGTATTTTGTATTTTATATTATAAAAGAATAAGTGTGCATTGGGAGTCATTGCAATTGTTCAGGAGGACGGTGGCTTGTGTGGTTAGGATGCTGGGTTGGAAGTTAGCAAGCCCACGTTTGAGACCCGAGTAATGCCATGGGGTGGGGTAAGCTCCCCTCCTTCACTCCAGCTCCTGCCGAGGACATGAAAGGAGCACCCAACTGGGCGTCCCCTGGGTAACGGTTAATCCTTTCCACCTGGAAGTGCCTCAGTGCTTCTGACATAACTGCGATGTGATTGCAGCTGTATAGAGTACTTGTATGTATCTGAAATAGACCCTTGCTCTGTTGGTGTTGGACACTTGGCTTCCTTCATACTGTGGGCCCAGTATATACTTATAGCAGGCAATCTGAAAAAGATTGGTCCATACTTTCATTAATCTAAGACAGTGGTTCTCAACCTTTTTAATGCCGCGACCCCAACCAGTCGTAAGTCGAAGACTAAACCGGTCGTAAGTCGAGGACTACCCAACCGGTCGTAAGTCGAGGACTTTCCCTGCCCGGGAGTGCCGTGCATGCGTGGTTCCGCCCCCTGCGCTGGCCGAGGCGTAGCTGGCAAGCGGCAGAGACGGAGCAGGCCGACCACCAGCTGGCCCAGCCCAAGGGAGATAAGGCACCCGCCGGAAAAGGGGGAAAAATGGCGGACAAAAAAAATGGCGGACAAAAAAAATGGCGGACAGCCTTGCTTGGCGACCCCCATGAAATGGTCGATCGACCCCAAATGGGGTCCCGACCCACAGGTGAGAACCACTGATCTAAGATACTTTGTCTTGGACCCATTCTGAGTCAAAATAGATGTGGCAATTTATTATGATGTAGGGAAAAAGTGTTTTTGTAACTATGGAAGGATGGAAATTGCTGGAATTGGGTATGTCTAGTTTAACGAAGAGAAGGACGAGGGGGGACATGATAGCAGTGTTCCAATATCTCAGGGGCTGCCACAAAGAAGAGAGAGTCAAGCTATTCTCCAAAGCGCCTGAAGGCAGGACAAGAAGCAATGGATGGAAACTAACCAAAGAGAGAAGCAACCTAGAACTAAGGAGAAATTTCCTGACAGTTAAAACAATCAGTGGAACAACCTGCCTCCAGAAGCTGTGAATGCTCCAACACTGGAAGTTTTTAAGAAGAGACTGGATAGCCATTTGTCTGAAATGATATAGGGTTTCCTGCCTGAGCAGGGGTTGGACTAGATGACCTCCAAGGTCCCTTCCAACATTATTATTATTATTATTATTATTATTATTATTATTATTAGTAGTAGTAGTAGTAGTAGTAGTAGTAGTAATAGTAGTATGAGGCAGGAGAACAGGTGGATAGCTATTCTTAAAGAATTCAAAACTGCTTTGGACAATAACTTTTTAATTATACTTTAAATGTAAAAAATTCCATTTTGCAGAGCCAATTTTATCACCAAAGATTCATTTGTATTGACCACAGCCGAGTTTTATGCTTGCCTCTTCTTCCCTTGACCTGTCTTTTCTAATAGGAAAAGAAAAATCCTTGTTTTTCTCTTCCTGTGTTTCATACTTGCTGCTGCCCAGCGGAGTCCAAAGAAAGATAGAGATGCTACTAGAACATGCTAAAATGTGACTTGGTCAAATGTGGCTTTTGCAGCCTGATGCTGTCCCATTAGGCTGGGGCCCCAGGTCCTACCAATGTTGTTTTGATAGATCTGAAGGGCAATGAGGATGAGACAAGAATGCCCTAGAACAGGGGTAGGCAACCTTGGCTCTTTTATGACTCGTGGACTTCAACTCTCAGAATTCCTGAGCCAGCCATGCTAGCTCAGGAATTCTGGGAGTTGAAGTCCATGAGCCATAAAAGAGCCAGGTTTGCCTACCCCTGCCGTAGAAGATGAATGGGCAGACTGCTAGCTGAATGTGGCCCTCAGACTCCCATTTACAGCCTCAATTCTCCCAAATTGATGAGGGCGACATTTTCTTCCCTGTTTTCAGTTGGTGTAAAATTTCAGCAGCACATCCTAGGAGATTATAAACTGAAAATACAGGAGGTGGGACCTAAAAAGGTTGGTTTAAAAAGGTTGATTACTTGGGCCTAGAATGGTTCTTTGACGTTCTCGCTTGTTTTTCAAATAATGGTATTTGTTGGTGTTTTATAAATAATCGTCTTTTCTGCTCCAAAACAGGTCTTCCTTTATACAGACTGTTATAGCCCGGTGCTTCATGGAACTCACATCTTCTAGAAGCACATTTAGGTTCAGCATCCAAGGGATGGATCACACAATCTATATCTTGGTAAGTCATGAGTCTTAGTCTCAAAGATGCTTTTTCAAGAAGCAACTGGACTTTCTTGTTTTTCTTTCTTTGAAGGCATTTCGATTCTTCGATTTGAAGAAGCCAAGAAGCTTCCTCAGCTCTGACTGGATGGTAGGGAATGGAAGGATTTATATTCCTTGCAGACAGCTGGTCATTTGCATTCTTTTAGAGCAGGAGTGTTAAACTGCCGGCCTGCGGGCCGGTTGCATCTTATGAAGGCCGCGCCCACCCCAGCTCCAGCAATGCAAAAAAAGTTGCAATATGTTGCGACGTGTCACGTGACACAGTGAGTTTGACACCTGTGTTTTAGAGAGCCATTGGAGGCCCACCTGGAGGTTTATCTGTCCTCAAAGTCACCTGAGTGGTGCAAGTGGGTGTGGAGCCTTCTTGGAACTGCTGAAAGGAATGTGTTGTAGACTAGAGATAGATGATGTTGTATCCCTCCCCCTCTATTGCAGGCATGTCAAACTTGCGACGTCTCACATGATGTCGCACAACGTATCGGGCCGGTTTTGCCATTGCCGGCAATGGGGTGGGCGCGGCTTCCACGTGATGCGTCCGGCCCGTGGGCCGGCAGTTTGACACCCCTGCTCTATTGAGAGAGGGCTGTTTAATTCCAGTTGCCTCTTGAAAAAACACCTTTGAGACAACCATGACCTGGATGACTGAGAATCTCCATAGTCAAAAGTCTTAGTGCTATCTTTTATAAACTGCCTCATCTTGTTACATACCTACCCAGCTGTTAAGATCTGCAGAAGGAATTCTTTTGAAGAAGCTCACAATAACAGCTAAGCAAGCTGCATTGTTCTCAGATTGTGGAATGTATGGTCATCCTATGCTTCTTAAATTATTTTAATGCAATTTTATTGATAATATAAATCCGTACCTTTAGCTTTTATATTCTTTTTTTGTTTCAGAATTTTGATAGTTGCCTTGAGTATTACCCAGAATAGCAAAATGGATTATAACCTAATCACTCATTCAAATCAAATAAAGCAATCCTTTTCTTTTTTTCTAAAAAGAGTTCCATTGATTAACTTCAGAGTTCTCCAACTACATAACTTGGTCTTATCTCCTGGCTAAGCAGATTTCTTTTTATCTTTCCAATACCAATAGTAAATTGCTGGTTGGATATGGAAGCCACCCATCGTGGCGGGGGGCGTGGAATAGCATTGCCAACTTAAAACAGGGGCTCATTAGTGGTGAAATCATCAGTTCTGCCTTAATTTTGAGAGCACATTTTCTACAGTTCTGAAATGACAGCAAGAAGCTTTTAAAGAAGGCTTGAAATACCCTTATCTCTGTTTTACCTTTAACAAAACAACCAAATGATTTTTTTTTTCTATAAAGAGAAAGCTAGTATCTGGCATTTTCCAGAGAGCACATGAAGTTTAAACACTAGGCACAGCTAGCCTGGAATTTCCATCCTAAGTCATGATAGCCATAAGTCCCAACAATTTGGACCTGATTTTATCACTTTTTGCAGTGGCCATTAAGTGAACCCATGTATTCCTAAGGGGTGTTCTTTGCTGGAATGTCCAAAAAGTCTGGAAACCAGGAAAAAACAAACAAACCCCATCATAAACCACAGTCATGTGACCATGGAATGCTGCAACCGGCTGTAAAGGTGAACTAGTTACCAAGTCTCCAAAATGTGTCATGTGATCAAGGGATGGTATGTGAGCATCAGAACTCTGAAACTGGATCAGTAGTAGTGGTAGTAATAGTAGCAGTAGTAATAGTAGCAGTAGTTGTGTCCTCTGTGGCCTTTTATGTGAGAAAAGTTAAGTCCTAATAATAGTTCCACTTTCACTTATCCCTATTTGTGCTTGCTAATAAATCATCTGACCATAGTAAGATCTTATATGTGGAATAAGCCCATTAAAATGTGACTTGTAAGGCTGTCCCTTATCCATAGATCTGGGTGTTGAATTGTGACACACTGATGGTGGAAACGTCGGGAAACCCAGCTTCCAATAACGTTTTTGCATTATTTGAATCTGAGCTGTCATCTCCTTCGAAGCCCGCTGAGATTCATAAGGCTGTTAAAGTTCTTTACCATCCTTGTACTGAGAACAGAAATAAGGAGTAAGTATTGATTCTGCATCTTTATTTTTTTTTGAAAAAGCATTGTAATAGATGTTCTTTCCCAAATGTTTGTGTAGTATAATTTCCAAAATCCAGTGTCTTTTCAAGAGAAAAATGAAATCTGTTTCACAAATCTCTTTCAGCAAAGTTCTAAGTTATGGTGCAGCATATATGTGTACACATAAATATGAATTTATATGCTGCCGACTCCATTCACAACAAACATCCACGGTGTAACTCAAATAGATAATGACACATGGATATCCAATCTGTACAACATCAACATAATTTAATTGCTGATTATGTATGCCGATTGGTGTACATTCAAAGTGACAATAAAGTTGTTGTTATTGTTATTATTGTGTTCTGGTATTATTGGTTAGGGCAGTGGTTCTCAACCTGTGGGTCGGGACTCCATTTGGGGTCGATCGACCATTTCATGGGGGTCGCCAAGCAAGGCTGTCCGCCATTTTTTTGTCCACCATTTTTTTCCCCCTTTTCCAGCGGGTGCCTTACCTCCCTTGGGCTGGGCCAGCTGGTGGTCAGCCTGCTCCGTCTCTGCCGCTTGCCAGCTACGCCTCGGCCGGCGCAGGGGGTGGAACCACACATGCGTGGCACTCCCGGGCAGGGAAAGTCCTCGACTTACGACCGGTTGGGTAGCCCTTGACTTACGACCGGTTTAGTCTTCGACTTACGACCGGTTTAGTCCTCGACTTACAACCGGTTTAGTCTTCGACTTACGACCGGTTGGGGTCGCGGCATTAAAAAGGTTGAGAACCACTGGGTTAGGGTTTGTTCTTTTCATAAACATTTAAATTAAAATGTCTATGATAAGAACAATCCCTATCCAATAATACTAATAATCAATATCACTGTACACGTCACAGATAATAGCGTAAATAATTAAATATCAGCCAACTCTTGCAAGACAACAGTAATTCACCAAAAGCCTTTCGAGAACAATTCAATGTGTAAAACGTTCTGAAAAACTGTTGCATTGGGACAGGCTTATCACTAAAAAGGATGTGATTCCTTATGGTTGGAGACATTACAGAAAACTACTATGTCTCCAATTCAGCCAATCCAATTTTACAAACATCTATAAAAATGAAATGTTCCTTTCCGTTCTGTGAATACTGTGTATAAAAATTATAATTTATTAACAGGCTATTCTCACTATCTTTAATAAAGTGGCTTTTTAAAATAAACATGTATGACCTTGAATGAATGCAAGTGTTGAGGTTGCTGGCTTTTGATTTTCTTTGTTAATTGTCTGCTTAATTTAATAGGTTTGAATTCTGAGGCTTTAATAAGAGATTATTTTTGTTCCTTATATGTTTAATGTAATGTAGTAAGGAACCAATTGACATGCTAATCTGTTTTGTACCTCTGGAAACAGCAAAGCTACAATGGAGAATATTTTACAGCAGCTGATAGGCTGGCTGGATTCTTGTCAATAGCTTTTAAAAATATAACTGCCTTTAATTTTTAAAAAATGCATCCTCTATAATCCATATTTGTGCAAAACCTTTTTTTCCTACTCTTGTTATTTTAAGAGATAATTTATAGCTCCTTAGAACATGCAACCGAGCAACTACAATATATGCCTTCTTCGTATCTCAAACATACCGGAATTTTTTTGATGGACTTGAAATCTGCGCATCTGAGTTTATATGAAAAACTGACATTTGCTGAAAACAGGGAATTTATAATGATGAGAACAAGAATAGTGTCTCTTGAAGCTATAAGATGTGATTAATCCTCAAAATTCTACCTAGCATGGTCACTCAGCTATTATAAGAATTGTGACTCTAAAAATATGAAACATACCTTGTTGCCTCTTCTTGGGCTAGTGTGATGAGCTACAGAATAGCCAGAAAGATGTAGTTGAAGAAGTTGGATATGTTTTTTCTGGGAAAAGTAGAGATTATATGGAGACAGGGTTGCTTTCAAATAGTTCAGTCTGTTATGTAAAAATGTTTATTAATTTGTGTTTTATTTGGTTTGGAGTTGGCAGAGATTTGTTTTACTGTAAGAATTAATTGTACAAGACCTTGACTTCAAAGTTAGTGAGCTCTTTTTTCTTTCAGATTATTAAACAGAGACTGAGCATCCATCAGTTGGAGAAGTTGTAGCTGTAGGATTGGGGCAAAATATTTTTTTTTCATAAGTGCAAGAAATCTGCAATTTCATGTATTTTGAATTTTGGATATTTTGGGTATTCCTTCCTATTCATGATGGGCTTGTGAAAACTATTTCTAAGGTTTATGGACTAGTTTTATAAGAAAATTAGTAATTACAGATTTGTGGGTAAGTAAATCCAAACTTTTTCCAGGATTCCTAATTATTATGACTCAACTGTCATGACTCAAGATCTAAAGCAGCGGTTCTCAACCTATGGGTCGCGACCCCATTTGGGGTCGATCGACCATTTCATGGGAGTCGCCAAGCAAGGCTGTCCGCCATTTTCCCCCCTTTTCCGGCGGGTGCCTTACCTCCCTTGAGCTGGGCCAGCTGGTGGTCGGCCTGCTCCGTCTCTGCCGCTTGCCAACTACGCCTCAGCCGGAGCAGGGGGCGGAACCACGCATGCGTGGCGCTCCCGGGCAGGGAAAGTCCTCGACTTACAACCGGTTGGGTAGTCCTCGACTTACGACCGGTTTAGTCCTCGACTTACGACCGGTTGGGGTCGCAGCATTAAAAAGGTTGAGAACCACTGATCTAAAGAGTTGTACTGTACTCTCAGTACATCTGATATATACCACATTAGGGAGTAAGTATACAGTTGATTTGAATGATTATATAAAGGGTAGGCAACCTAGTGACTATAGCTACCAATGAGCTCACTTTCTGTCCTGACTTTATTTTTAGATACAGATAGTCCTCAACGTACGACCACAATTAAGCCCAAAATTCATGTTGTTAAGTGAGAAATTTGTTAAATGGGTTTTGCCCCATTTTACGACTTTTCTTGCCACATGTGTTAAGTGAAACATTGCAGTTGTTAAATTAGTAACATGTTGTTAAGTGAATCTGGTTTTCCCATTGACTTTGCTTGTTAGAAGATTGCAAAAGGGGATCACGTGACTCCAGGACACTGCAACCATCATAAATGTGAGTCGGTTGTCAAGCATCCAAATGTAAATCACGTGACCCTGGGGATGCTACAAAAGTCAGAAGTGTGACAAATGGCCTATGTCACTTTTTTCAATGTTGTGTAATTTCAAACGGTTACTAATGAACTGTTGTAAGTCGAGGTCTACCTGTACTTTAAAATAAATATATAGGAAACTGCCTTCCACGTTATTTTTACTTCCAAGAATGCTTGTGTATCTTGAAGCCTTTTTAGGAAATCAGAATGGTGGCTGACTGCAGCCCAATCTTGGTTTGAAAATCCCCCCCCAAATAAACAGAGGTTTAGAGTTACATAGAAGAGGGAGTGCAGGCAGCCATCCTCCAGTTGTCTTCTAGTAAGTGAGTTGTGAGTGGCCACAAACTTCATGGCATCCATTTTGCGAGAATACTCATCACAAATTCTGTATAGTTCCAAATATGCCTAAAACCCAAAACAGCTTACTGTGAATTTCATCCAGGATCTTTATAGATTCCTTACCAAAATTTGCACAGAGAAGAAACTGGGATCTAGTTTGGGAAATAATGCACTACGCAATTTTTCCATATCCCGTCACAACTCACTTACCAGAAACTCATGTTTCCATCACTGTATACCACAAAATGGAATGACAAATGCTCTTTAGCATTCATTTTTATTGACTGAGCTTATTAAGCAGGGAACGTGGGCTTTTTGTTTTCTTGGTGTTTGTAAATCTCCTAGCGATTACTAAGCACTTCTGTAATTTGAAAAGACATTATGAAAGAGGATATCACATAACAAGTTCTTAATACATTCAAAAGCACTTGCTGATCTCCTAATACATTGTGTATTCAAAAGGCAGAGTTACTCTTATTGAGCCGATATTTTCCATCTGCTTGCAGTACAGAATGCAGCACAATTTTGTCCTAATCCCATTTATGTTGTCAGGAGTAGGCTTGCATTACTGATTGGAAATGCGAGACTGTATTTCTCTCTGGGTATCAATGAGATGAATATACGGTAGCTGCCGAAAAATAATTAATTAATGGGCAGTGCTTATAATTCATCCTGTCCTAAAGGACTCTAGTCTAGGCAGCATAAAATAGCAAAACCACAAAATATAAGAAAAACAATAAAATCCACTAATCTTTAATTGGATTAAATGAAAAAACTGTGTAACCTACGCCAACAAGGACAGGCTAAAAATAGAAATAAATACATCTAGAAGACGGACAATCAAAGTACACAAGATCCATTAAAATTAATAACCTGTTGTTTTATTGATCACAAACCAGCTCCAGTGGAATGATTTCTCCATTTCCAGTTTCTTGCAAATAAACATCCATTGGGTATAATGGCTTCACTTAATGACCGTAATGTTTGTTTAACAACTAGCACAAAAAAGTCATAAAATTGGGCCTCATCATAAGGTGATTCGTTTAATGACTGAACCGAGATATGACCATATTTCTGGGCTCAGTTGTCATAAGTCAAAGACTATATGTATTAGAGTTTTGCTCCCATTAACCTTAGCTGAAATGGTCAGTGGTCATAGTGCTTCTGGTTAGAAAGGCAGGATATAAATCAAATAAATAGATGATTAATCATCATCATCCTACCTGACAGTTAGAACAATTACAGGTAATCCCTGAGTTACGAGCGTTCACTTAACGCTCGTTCAAAGTTATGTGATGAGCGCCCCCTAGTGCTTACGAGCAAGTCCCGAAGTTATGAATATTGCAGCACCACGGCAGTCGTTCGCCCTTACGAGCGACCGCAGTGGCTCTGCAACATTCACCCTGATTATTTCCTCCCTCCCCATCCCCGCCCTGGGTTTCCTTAGGCACCAGGCCTTCAATACTCAACCTGCGAAGATCGAGATCCTTCGCTTTCTTGGCTGCTCCAGGCC